CCTGTTGAAGTATGGAGATATTACTTGCTAACTAATAGGCCTGAGGTAACTTTGAAGATTCCCATCTTCCTTTTTGACTTTTTTAATTTTTGGTGATAGTTTGTAAATATCCTTCTTTCTCTGTATCTTTCTTTACTCATTTTAATTATATATATATTTTTTGGTGAACTAGGTATCAGACACATTATTTACGTGGGCCGACTTGCAAGCAAAACTGAACAGCGAATTGCTGAATAATTTGGGCAACTTTATAAATCGCGTTTTGAGTTTTGTTGCCAAACCTTCAGGTCGGTCAGCCTTTGGTTTCTAAAAGTATTGACCAGACAGCTGATTTGTCGTTTACAAGTTAATATCATGAGGAAGTTATTTTAGGAACGGTTATATTGTTGATTCTTGTTCTGTTTGTCAATTTTTGCTTCTCTCTGATGGTTATAGCTCCAGTGGTAAAGCCTTTGCCTGCACACTCACGGCCTGAGTTCAACTCTCCCCCTCCCCTTTCCCTGAATTAACAAGAATAAAGAAGATGCTTTTGGTTTTATATTTTTGCTTGAGGTGTTCTGAAACCATATAACAAAATTATGTTGAAAATTCTTGATGGAGATAAACAACATTTCCTGATATTTCAACTTTGCGATATCAAGGTTTGATATTTGTTCCTATATAGATCAATTATGCATGTAATATCACAGAGGTAGTTGGATGATGATTAAATTGTATAAATGATTATTGCTCTATTTTCCTTGCGTCCTTACCTTTTTATGCATGTTTCCTGGTTTAACAAATAAGCATGGTATATGTGACACTTTGCAGCATGTAAACTAACAAAATCCATGTATAGGTCAAGGATATGGCTCCATTATTCCAGATGCTCCAAGTGCAGACTCAGATCTTTTGACAGAGAAACTAGCTGAAAAAGTTGGTAAATGTGTGGAGCAATATATAGAAGCAATGGAGAAGGTAATTGATATTTAGATGACAGTCTTGTTGCAAATAACTGGAAGCTTCTCCTCCACACCTTCTTTTTTTCACATGTCTCTTGCATTGGCATGACATTCTTATCTGCATTTTGTGTAGGTTAAACTAAAGCAAGGACTGAAAACAGCAATGAGCATTTCTAGTGAAGGGAATGCATATCTGCAAGTAAGCATGTTTTTAATCTCTGTTTGAGAGACTTGTTTATGGATAGGTTCTTTTCTGAAGGGTATGTCTTGGAAATGGCTGTGAAACTGATTATTCAACTGCTGCTAAGTTGCACCATCTACAATAACCATGCAGGAAAGCCAGTTCTGGAAGCTTTACAAGGAGGACCAACCTCGTTGCGCTGTTGTTATGAGAACTTCAGTCGGACTAGTGTATCTTCTTGCTTGTTTGTTGGAACCTTTTATGCCATCATTTTCTCTTGAAGTAATAAATTCTGTTCACAGCTGATTCTGTTACTCTGAAATATTTTTGTGATCATCTGATATTACTATAATCATCCATGCTGAGATCTTTTTTTCTTCTTTAACTGCATTCAAGGTATTTAAGCAGCTTAATTTACCTCCTGAGACGCACATATCACTTTGTGATGATAAAGGAGATATTGATAGGGCAAGACGGCCTTGGGAGATTGTACCTATTGGTCACAAGATTGGGAAACCAGAGCCATTGTTCAAGGAATTGGTATGTCTTTGAGGTGCTTTGTCTTTTGCCTATTTATTTTTGGTTACACGTGTTATCATTTCGGAATAGATGCATTGACACTGATGCATGATTAGTGGGGAGGAAACAACCTGATCGTATTGGATTGAAGGTGATAGAAAACTTTTAATTGCCAATTCTTCTGCATGAAGGAAACTAGAGTCGGCGAAGTTGTCCACAGTATTTCATAGCATAGTGTTTTAAGAGAGGAGTTCTGAAGAATCGACAAGAAATAGAAGAAACACTTGTTGAGAATTGTAGCAAATAGCGGAGAAAAGTCCTGATGTTATCAGCAAGCAAAGGGTTGTAGAGAGAAACTATAACAGAAGGAAATCGGATAGGGGGAACTTCAAGTAGCTCTTGAACAAACAGCACTTCAATTATTCAATATCACCGGGATTGTATAGTGCATTTGCTTTACAAAAACTTTAAATGTTGCCTTGTAATACTTGATGAGGAAGCAAATCCTAAAGGTATTTTAATTTGCCTAGAAAAGTGGATCAACAGCAGCTACCATCACATTTGCTGTCAGCTAGAAGCAAATAATTTTTGTGTCATGTTACTTATTGGTTAATAGTTAACTTCCTATGCAACTTGCGTCTGACTGAGTACAACTTTTCTGTTGCGTAGGGGCAAGATCCTAAAGCACTAAGCTAGTATAGTCTTATCCAATATTGTTTTGTTTATTAACCTCTCCAAGTGGGTGGTTGGAAAATTAAGCAAGTCTCTGGGATAAGTTTATAGGCTGCACTTAAAATTTGGTTTTGATTTTCAATGCTGGACTCTCTAGCTTGCCATGATATGATTGCTGCATCACTTGCCTATTTGTAGATTCTAATTTAGTGAAAGTTTGCACTTGCACACAGAAAGATGAAGAAGTGGAATCCTTAAGGAAGAAGTTTGCTGGAAGTCAAGCGGACAGGAAGGAGAGGGAAGAAGCTGAAGCAGTGAAGGTGGCTGCACAACTCAAGAAAATGAAAGTTTCAGGTTAAAATTTCTTTACCTCTAGTTGATCTGGTCCACAACCATTCGGTGTTAGAAAAGTTAACTAATAAGCAATACTTCCCGTTCTTCTTCATTGGATATTATACTTATTATTACTTTAATACATAGCTTCTCCTTGTAACCAAAGAAAAAGGTGCATAGCTTCTCCTAAAATGTGGATAATCTCATAAGCTAAACTCATGATTTCTGGGCACTTGTACTTGAAAAGAATCCTATACCCTTTATTATTTATTGCTAACATAAATATATCTATTCTGAATCCTGATAATCCATTTTTGTAACAGACAACAGCGGCAAGAAAAAGCAACAGGCCACAAAATCAGCAGCTGAAGCAGAGATTTCCATTTCTAGACTTGATATTCGTGTTGGCCTCATTACAAAAGCTCAGAAGCACCCTGATGCCGATTCGCTTTACGTAGAAGAGATTGATGTTGGTGAAGGACAGACTAGAACAGTTGTGAGTGGACTTGTCAAGTATATACCCATTGAAGAAATGCAGGTTTGTGTTTGCATCTACAGATTTTTTAGCAGTAAAATTTGAATTAATTTCCATAACTTTTGGGCACCTGCTAATCCATTTGTATATTCATATTAATTGTTCTGTGGCAGAACCGGAAGGTCTGTGTTCTTTGTAATCTGAAGCCAGCAACCATGCGGGGTATTAAATCACAAGCAATGGTTCTTGCTGCTTCGACCAGTGACCATGCCACGGTAAGCAGCCATGTATACCTTTAATTAGTGTTTGCATCTTATATGCGCTTGATAATCAGGCTCTTTGAGTGAAATAAGAGTGTTAATATCGATTTGATGATAACTGATTTTAACTTTTGGTCTGTTGTGAGGATATTTTTGACGTATCTTCATGTAAATATTGCTGCTGTAAAAGAGTTGATTTCCTGTCTAGGCATCTAAGGGGTCTGCGTTTGTTTTTACCATGTTGTTATTCTGTTTTTTGTATGTCTGTTCGTGGCCATCTTGTCCACCCTTGCTTTTATTGTCTTATGCAATAAAATTTCCTCTCTTTTTTTATTTTTTTTATTTTTATAAAGTTGATTTCCGACAGGCATATGATTATCAGTGTTGGCCGTAGTCTGCACAAGGTCATGTGATAATATGGTGATAATATGTTTTTGTTTAAGTCCTGTAGCGGTTTTGACAGTCAGAGTAATTTAGCACTATCAAACTTCAGTCGCAATGAATGCTCTGGTTGTTTCTGATTAGTCACTAATTTAGAAGAACTATGCCTTTGTAACTCACGTTTCTTGAAATCTTAGCCTTTGTGGAAGCCATTGCAAACGCTATCCATTCTCAGAACCTTTGTCAAGCATGTAGAAAGTTTATCTGTGTGGTACTAATGTAATTACTGATAAGAGATCTTCAATGTTGGGCGCTTCTCAGGTTGAATTGGTTGATCCACCAAAAGCTGCTCAAGTTGGCGAGAGAGTTACATTTCCAGGGTTTGTTGGTGAACCTGATGAGGTGTTGAACCCCAAGAAGAAAGTGTGGGAGACCTTGCAAGTGGATCTGCACACTAACACTGACCTAGTGGCCTGCTACAGAGATATTCCCCTCACAACATCAGCTGGTGTTTGCACTGTATCCTCAATTTGTGGCGGGTCAATTAGATAGAAGATAATTAATTCTCTAGAGTTTGAAAAGGAACTGAAACGAAACAGCCAATTCTAGATTTTGCTGTAAAATGGTTATTTGAAAAACAATGACCAATTTTTGCTCACGGGTGGAGACCACTTTTGCTCCCCTTGTCATTTGGATGAAAAAGGGAAAATGTCTACTACTTCTACATGCTTCATGTGTAAAACGAAAGTTTTTATCATTTATAGTCAAAATTTAGAAACTTTCAAATATAGCGAAAAATTCACTTAAATATATCCTAATTGGGAATTTGAGAGGCTAAATTTTGTAAACATCATTCTTTTAATTTGGACTGAACTGGGTACAAAATATTTTATACGCCTTGATTATAATAATGTATACAACTGGATATTAGTGGATGATGAAAATAAAATGGAGAGAGATAGAGGGAGAGTAATCATGGCTTAGGGTCTATTTCAGTGGTTTACACTATCTATTCTCTCGTAAATTAGAGCTTGTATTAAATAAATAAATAACAGTACAACCGTGTATTATAAATGCAGAGAATCCAAATCCAGATATACATGCAAAATTCAAACACAATCTCAAGTTCAACAGGAAGACATAGAGCAAGCTAAGCTGTACATGGAAGGAGAAGGAATCAAAACAAGAAAACAACACCAAATGCATGACCTCATAAGAAACTTTCTGCATCCCCCACTCTACCTTTTCCATATCTTTAGTCTGATCTTTGCAACAATCTTAACATACAAGTCATGCCTTCTGGAGATCACGAAATCCGCAAGAACCACTCCCACCACCATCCCACTTCCATATCCAGCCAAACCAAATCTCCAATCAAGTTCCAATGTTCCAGCTGAGCCTGAATCATTTTCTTCTACCGTTGAGGATGGCTGTTGAGGGGCCTCAGGATCTCCGCATTTCCTTGGCAATGGATCTCCACACAACCCGGAGTTTCCCTCATATGAAGTACTATTGAATGAAGTAAGTTGGGTTCCTTGTGGTATACGACCTGTGAGGTTGTTGTGAGACACATCTAAGCTTCCAAGAAAATTAAGCTGCGTCAGTTGTTGGGGGATCTGTCCAGAGAGCTTGTTTCGTGAAAGGTCCAGCGATTTGAGCTTCGTTAACTTGCCCAGCGATGATGGGATGGAACCAGTGAGAATGTTGTTGGAAATGTTGAGGGAGTGAAGCTCCGTAAGGTTCCCAATGAACTCTGGAATCTGACCTTCAAAATTGTTGCTTGAGATATCAAAGGATGCAAAGTCTTCTTGGATCTTTGAATAGTATAGATCCAAACCTTTAGTGGCTATTGTGATTGAGTAATCTACACTGAATATTACCAAGAAATCGTTGGCGTTATAAGTTACGTCTGTCTGCATGTAGCCTGAGTTGTTTACGGTACTGTCTGGAAACACAGATGGAATTTCGCCTGTGAAATTATTGTAAGACAGGTCAACAATGCGCAACTTGGGGAAATCAAGATTCTTTCTAGAATTTCCTATGACGCCATTGAATGCATTCTGGCGCATCGCCAGAAGTTTTAACTCAGGGAGAGTCCCCAACCAAATGGGAAAAGCATCACTGAACTGGTTGTTTGACAGAACAAGATACTCGAGCATCAGACAATTGGCCAATGATCTTGGCAATCTCCCCTGCAATTGGTTATGGCTAACATCAATCATCCTCAAACTGCTTCTGTTGCTGTATGATTGTGGAACAATACCATGAAAGGAGTTTCTTCCAAGAAGCAAAAGGATTAGACCATCACTGAAGTTTCCAAGACACTGAGGAAGCGTGCCACTCAAGTTATTTTTCGACAAGTCGAGGTACCGAAGAGAACTCATATGGCAAAGCAACGGCGAGATTTCTCCACTAAAGTTGTTCTCAGGAACTCTGTATTCTAACATGGATGGTGGAGGGATCGGTACTGGTCCATGAAACATGTTGGACGAGAGCCTTAAGCATAGCAAGTTAACCCAGGGAAGAAAAATTGGAAGTTGGTCAGAAAGGAAGTTTTCAGAAATGTCCATGTATACCAAAGTCTCTGTGCTTATGTTCCACATCCATTTTGGTACTTGGCCATGGAGTTTGTTTCTAGACAGGTCTAACCGCTCCAAATTTGTTTGATATCTCAGGAAAGATGGGAACTCTCTTATGTTGCATGCACTCAAACTTAGAATGGTGAACTGTTGAACAGTTGTATTCGTACTTTTGGATTCGGTGACGAATTCCAAATTGTTCCAATTCAGTTGGAGTTCATAGAGATTTTGTAGCTTTTGAAACATTTCTAACTTTACTACACCGCTCAGGTGATTTCCATGTAGATAAAGGAGCTCAAGATTCATGAGATTGGAGAATGAGGTAGGAATTGAACCATTCAAACTATTAAAAGAAAGGTCTAGGTAAATTAGTTTGGTAAAGTTACCCAGCCAAGATGGGATTGGACCAGTCAATGGATTAGAATTGATCCTACACACAGTCAATTTGGTAAGGTTTGCCAAGGAATCAGGAATTGAACCTACAAATTTGTTTGCTGCAACGTCTAGATAAGTGAGTTGTCTAAGATTACCAAGTGCGGATGGAACCAACCCTTCCGAAAAATTGCATTGAGCCACATCCAACTCTTGCAATAAATTAAGCTTTTCAATCGAAGAAGGTATTATTCCGTAAAAACCAGTAAATGCAACTTTTAGTACGACAAGAGGACTACTTCGATTAAATTCAGGAAAATATCCAGTGAGATCTTGGTTGTATCTAACACTAAGACTTTTTAAGTTTGGTAGATTGAAAATTCTCACTGGGAACTCACCAACTAGATCACATTCCCTGAGAGCAAGGAATGTCAAAAATGTTAAATTTGCCAAGGATTCAGGTACCGTTGAAGATATGCTAACGAAACTAAGCTGAAGAATTTCTAGACTAGTTAAATTTTGAACTAGACTTCTCATATCAGATGGTTGAAGTTTCAACAATACCTCACTGGAAGATGTTCCAAGATTGCAACAAAGATTAAGGGATGTCAACTTGGACAACTGCGAAACTTCAGATGGGACTTGACCAGAAAAGACAGAGGCAGAGAGGTCAAGCTGAGTGAGGCTTGGAAAATTTCTGATGCTACTAGGAATTTGAGAGTAATTGAAGTTATTGTCAGAGAGGTTTAACCTTCGAAGATGAACTAGGCGGAACAGGCTACTATTGGAGTGGATAGAGCCGTAGAGATAACTGCTGCTAAGATCAAGGCCAATAACATGCCCCGTCTTCTCATCACACTCCACGCCATCCCACGAGCAGCAGGTGCTATTTCCTCCTCCACCTAGTTTCCATGACAAAACCTTTGGATAAGCACCGTCATAACTTGAAGCAGATTTGTCAATAATAAAGGTCTTCTTGAACTGCAGCAAGGCAGAGCTCTCCTCCTCACGGCAAGAAAGCTGCTGCAAAGAGTATACAAATTTAGCAACCACAAGATGAAACAGCAGCAGAACTACTAGTTTTGAGAGCATGCGAATCGACACGTTGAATAAGCACAGGGATAGCCCCATAATGTTCTGATATTTTTTCTGTGCACTCTTAGCTAAATGACCGTCTGTGTGGAAGTGAAGGTTAGAGAGAGAGCTACTTATGGACTGGCAGGATCAAATTCTTGAGTGACAAGATTGAATAAAAACAAGTATAATCGAGTTGACACATATCAACTTGGCATTATATGGCATCATCAAGAGATAATGTTATTGACCTTCGAATCAATATAATAAAAAAGAAGTGTTTTCAGACTCGACCAATTAAAAGAAACGTGCTTTCACATTCCAGAATCACAAAAGTCTAGAACTTCCGTTTTCAATATATAGTGGAATGTAAATGCAACAAGTACTTATCAAAGGAAATTATTTCATCCTTCCCATTAAGAACAATTGTTGTCGATTCGGAATAAAAGAAAAACAATTCATGTCAACTACATAGATTCGTTTTGTCATATGTTCAATTAGAAACGGCCAACAAACTTTAAGTCAAGTTGTCATTAACTTTGGTGCTGCAAAATTGACAGATTCTTAATATGGGATAAGGTCTACGTGGTTGCAAAGGCTGGTCTGTGTAAAAAGACTAGAAGATAAGGTTATATAAGATCATCCACAACCCTTTTTCCTATTCATTTTTAGGAATATTATTCAGTCAGAAGTCAAATTTGAGGAAGAACATGGTATAATGAACATATCTAACCCAAAACTAATTGGCAATGAGTGGAGATTGCCAGGATCCTTTAAACTAATTGGCAATGACTGGTCATGAGGAGCAATAATTGCATAAAAAATTCGAAGACATTGACTTCCTCAAGTCAATTAATAAGTTAAGTTTATTTGAAATCAAGTCGTCTAACTGGGGTGAGATAGATCACAAGTTCAAAGATATGTCTTTAAAAATATGTCTTCACTCGATCGATTTCATCCATCCATCTGATCTTTGAAAAATATTTTTAGAAATTATTGTTGGGTTCATTTTTATACATGATTTATCATGTCATTTACCCAATGTTTTGAGTTAGTTCTTGACATTTTATAGCAATTTTCTTCTTTTTTGTGTTTTTATGGATTTTACCTTGATATAAATGTGTGCTAAAAGTGCATTATTGAATATAAATTCTGATTTTGCTCATTTTCGTAGATCAACTTTTTGACCGTGGATCACCATGCTCCAGTGCTCAGATGAGGTGAAGCTCTTTATGAAACTTGTTCAAATGGATGTTGACTACAACATATATGAATGTGAGCTTCATTGAACAAGTATAGCCTAGCCAACCGATCCAGCATTAATCCTAACTCTGGAATTGTGGTTTGGACCACCTTTACCTCCATTGGATGTCACCGCTCATTCTAACTAGTTGGATCCCTCTTAAGGTATTAAAAGTCAAAGAAATGATGAAAAGTGAACATTAGCCTACCTAGCTTTAGGAAAAGGTGAAGTATCATATGGATTGATGAGTTGGCAAGGGAGAGAGGGTAGCTAGGGGGAGGAAATCATTCGAAACATTCTATACACTTTGCATTTTTCTGAAACGAGAGAGAGAGAGAGAGAGAGAGAGAGAGAGAGAGAGAGAGAGAGAGAGGAGAGCAAGGAGCAGCCAAGCAAAGGAGGCTACCAAAGAGAAGAAGAAACCATGCCACCATTGAAGGCTTTTGTGCCTTCACCTTCATCAAATGTGTAACTTCTTTCTAGTTTTATTTCAAGTTGTATTTACTATGAACATGAGGAACTAAACTCCATAGCTAGGGCTTAGGTTGAAGCCCTAAACATGTTTAAACTTTGTTTCGATGCTATGTGTTTGTTTCCTTTGATTGATCACCTTAGGTTGTATGCATTTACCTAAAGTTGAGATGTTGTGTAAGATACCCAATAACATCATTTTTAATTAGCAACAAGTGATTGAATCTTTTCTAAGTGAGCATCATGTGAATTGGTTTCTTGACAACAAATGATGAATTCCTCTTTACTAAAATAATCTATCATTGATGTATATTTTTCTTTGATTAATCACCTTTGAAAGCATGCTTCTTGAGATTGTTTGGATTTTTCATATGATTAAATCAAAGTATTAAAGCACCTATATTGATTTTATGGGAAGCCCGAGTATTGTAACACTAAACATGCACTTTACTTATCTTAGAGAGAATCAATGTGTCTTGAGCCACTAAACTCGGTCTTGATTGCGAAGATCTTCATCAATGTATCTAGAATTTATATCCTGAGTATCCATAAACATGATTTGGATTTTTTAGGGTGGATTTCAAAAACCCTAGTGTTTGTCACCATTTAAATTACACTTTATTAATCACATTTGTTGATCTCGCTAAAATTAGAGTTCGGTTACACTTTAAGCATTAGAATTAGTTCACTTGAATCAAACCCCCCCCCCCCCCTCTTTGTTTTGTAAGTATGTGTGTTGTTTGAAGTCTTGAGTGTCCTTTCCATTGAATTCTGCTCACTTTGGTATTTGTTTTTGACATTTGACTTGCGTGAGTTCTACACTTTTCCGTGCTAAATCTAACCATATAAAGAACGTAAAATTTGGATTAACGGTTTGAAAGTTACAAGTCAAAAATGGGGCAGAGGTTGAAATTGGAAAACAGAGAAAGTTCATAAATTCCTCTTTGACCTAAAAGTGCTACAGTGCCCAGTAATAAAAAAGTGATACAATGGCTCTACTAGATTTTTGAGGTTTTTTTTTCCAAAGAAATCGTTTAGCCGTGCGGCTATACTCCTTTTCTTTTTAAAACATAGTATAGTCGCACGGCTTTACCTGTTTGATACATGGCGCACAGGCACTGGGAGGGCCTTTATTTTATATAAACATATATATAGTCTAGCCGTACGGCTATACTGGATCTGTTGAATGTTTTTAAAGAAATAGTATAGCCGTGCGGCTATACTTGTTTTTTGCTTACTTTTAAAATAGTATATCCGAACGGCTTTGCTTGTTTGACACGTGGTTCATAGGCACTGGCCGCGTCTATGTATAGTATAGCCCGGCGGCTATACTAGATTTTTTTGAGTTTTTTTAAACTAGACGCTTTTTACCTAATTTTTTTTATAAAAAAGTATAGCCGTCCGGCCTTAACCTTTTGACACGATTCACCTCCGCGCTGGCCTGGTCATAGATGTGATCGAACATGAAAGCAGGATCGGAAAATTTTGATTCTCCAATTTTGGATTCTGTTCCCTGGATATTTAGAACAGTAACATTACTCAGTAATACTAGATTAAAGTAAAATAAAATAAACAACAGCCAAAACAAAATTAGAGAAATTGCAACTTACCATGACATTATTGGAGAAGTTGTCCATGATGCTCGTGGAATCCAGTGAGATAGAATTCGAGAACAAATTCCCAGCCACAGCTATCAAAACGTAGTACGAACAGATTAAGGTTAATGAATGTAAACTTTTGGTCTTCATTACCCACTAGATGAAAAAATCAGAACCAAAATAATGATCAAAACATGTAAAGAGAAGAGGGAGAGAGAGGACTACTTTCTCCAAAGAACTGATTATTCCCAGTCATAAGTATTGTTACAGGGCATGACTCTGTCTTCCTGCATGACTCATTTGGCAAGTCTGTAAATGGAACAAAATCACTTCTCACTGCACGATAACGAGGAGCTGGCATCCGCAACAATGGAGGCCATTCTGTAGGCTTGGGATGGCCCAAATTGGATAGTACCAATGAGCAAGCAGAAGAAAGCTCAAGAGATGGACCTGAAAGGTTAAGTTTTTTCTGAGTAGAACATTGGACTGAGTCCAGAAGCTTGGTGGGCGGAGTGAACGATCCGTCATTGATGTCCAAAGCAAGATAATTCCTTTAACTGAGAACCAACATACCCGGATTCAATGTTTCTGTCAGCACCCAAGAATCAAAACCAAGTTCATCATTCAAAAACCTTTAGAGAACAAAAGATAAAAACTAATGTCTACCATTGTAAATAATAACTGTAAATGAAGAACCTCTTGTATGATTGGGAATTCTGAATGAACACTAGAGAATAAACTGAAATCTAGAAAAGATGGTCTCCTCCTCTGCTATTGGCTTTCTGCACCAAGGAAATGCAATTTGTCATTACCGTTGTGAATGTATTTTGTTTGCTTGTGTACATAATTACCCCTGATTTTTCCCCCCACTGTAGTGAAGTCTTTTGGATTGGCGCTGCCTAAGATGGTAATAATCAACAATAAGACGACAAGCGGGATGATAAAACGACTCCAAATGCGACAGCCTTTTTTTTTCCTTTTAAAATGAAAGAGTTGAACTACTTTGAATTTTGTCGTAGATTGAAATGTTTAGTTTACATCTTCTTAATTTATTTATGTATTTATAGTATTTATCCCTTTAGAGGGTTAGAGTTTCCCTATGAAATGTGAATAATGTTATTGGTCATATAGTGCTTGTCTGGATATTGAGGAAGTAGATGCATCGTCTAAGCATGGAAGTGAATCTTGTTAGGGCTCAAGGGCCAATTCTGCAGATTGACCTCATTAATCATGACAAGGTGTCGTTGCCTTATGAGAGGATGATAAGCAAAATTCACCGTTCTCTTGTTGCAACTAACACGTGGTGAAATCTCTCCTCACCAATTTTGAAAGATGTCTCAAGTTCGAATGTTTCCTTCCCATAAAGAAAGAAAGAACAAGTGGTAAAATTGTTGCAAATACAAGGTAGATTTTTTGTATTTGAATTCCCTCTAACCCACTCGTTTTTTTCTCTCTCTATATTACTTCTTTAGGTTTAATGTAAGATTTAGTGGTATAATCTTTATCTCGAGAAACCATGGCAGACTGGTGATGCAAAGGCTTGTTTGGATTCTCCAAATGTGTTTTGATGGTTGGAGACTCCTCAAAATGGTGATTAAATATGTATACGATGGGATTTTTAACTTCGGCCTCTGCTTGCCTTTAAAACTAAAAATCAGAAAGAGGTACAAATAAATACTGAAAAGCAAATTAATGATAACTTTCATCCATCCTTTTAGAGAAGTGCAAAATTGGCTTAATCTATAAGTACAGCGATCGATAACAATACTCTTCCCCTACTTTCTTTTCATTTTTTTTCTCTTCTTGGTGCTCTCAAAACAGCTTGCCAAAGGAGCAAAGGGAAAACTCACAAGACTCATATTAGGCAATTCTTTTACCTCTTTCCCTTTCCTCTTTGTCCACCTTTTCCACCTTTTCCACCTTTTCCACTTTTACCAAATTTGTTACCCTTAGAAGACTTGCTCTTCATATACGAGATTCTGTCGGCCTTTTTCTGTCGATCCTTCCGAACCTGTTCTAAGTCCTTGATTTCAGAACGCACGTGAGCATTAGGCACAGAGTTCTGCTTCCTGCTTCCCCAAGACTTCTTCCCCTTGTTCCCCTGCCACCTACGGTTACCTGCAAAAGACATGCATGCCCAGTAATATATATTAGGTGCCTATAATCAAACTTCTTAGCTTCACCAGAGGGGCAATCAGCTTTTATCTTCTAAAACAAAACCGAAAAAACATCGCAAAATAGAATTGTTACAATGGACCTTCACCATTGCACCAAGTAGAATGATGCCTACAAATTTTATATTTCAACATTATCAGCAAATTAGCAAGTGTGCGCAGTGCATATTGAATTCCCTGCTAACTATACGTCGCATATATGGCTTTATCTCATCCGACAGCTAGCACACTACATAATTTGGAAGGCAGGAAACACAAGACAGAAAAAGAAGCCAGCTCTAATGAACTGAACAAAGATTCTCATTGGATCACACAAAACGCCAAAACAATAAAAAGAAAACGGGTTCATAGGAAAAGATTCTTTTATACAGGAAAAAACAAAAAAGGCTTGGTGCAGGAGAAGATTGTGGATAAATAACCAATTGATATCTTCCACAAGAAATGCTGAAAGAAACCTTTTTGTTTTTTAGAAAGAAACTTTTTCTAGTAGCCTGAATCCTTACACCTGGTCACGACTCTATGTTCGATAATGTAATACCCAAAAAAAATGTAAAAATAAAAATATATATCAATCAAATTTAAGAGAAAGAAGAAAAAAAAACATAAACTTCCAAACAGAAAGCATTACCTGCAGCTTCCTCAGCATTCCCTTCATTAATTCCTTTGAGAGATACTTTATTGTGAGAACGTTCTTTCCACCTCTTGTATATCCCAGTTTTCTCAAGTTTTGCTTTTGCGCCACTCTCTGTCTTTATCTGTACACCATAAAAATATAGCATAAAAGTTTTGAGCTATCCAACTAAAAAAAGAAAAAAAAACAATAATTGTTGCAGGCGCACCTTGAAGATACCGTTAAAAGAAAACAATAAGAGTTCATAATTGAAACACCTCTGAGGTTTAGCATAATTATGATTAGACATTGTGTGCTTGGAAATTACACAAACGGGGTTTTGACATAACCAACACATATGTAAAAGCAGTGTTTTGAAACCATGACACGTTTCAAATGAAACATAGCATTGTTCACAAAATTAAAAGCCACCACCCAATACTCATGCTCGCCATCAGGGTCGGATTCTTTTCATGCCTAGGTTTCCTAAGCAATAGCAGCACCTAAGATGAGAAGGCAATGGTACCAACAGAGGTGTTTGGATATCGAACAGAATTTTCTTATACAACCTATTGCATCAAAGTTTCTTAGTCTGACAACCATAAAATGTTAGTTAATAATTGCTACTAATGAGGTTCAAATAATAATAAATGCAATGAAAAAAATACATAAATGTTAACGATGACCATAATATCATGCATGTTTAGATATACAGTACACATATGTTGCTTTCTATAAACATCTAAGTGGCCATTGACTAGTTTTTGGAACATTTCCTGGATGTGTCCACCGTATATCTCAATATGGATCCACATACACCCAACTCTAGTAATTTTTTCTCTCAAGAAGAAAACTTAATTGAACCCAAAAGCCAGTGCCACAGCCGATAATTTATTTACCAATTAAAAATATCCACTTCAGTTATATGTATTCTTTTCAGAATAGCAAGTTTCAGTACAAGAGCAAAAAGACAAATGTTCTAGATATAACTACAAGAACAACATTATGTTCAGAAACTAAATGGAAATTAATACTAGGAATGATCCAATAAGTATCAAAAGAGAACACGTGTCAAATTAATTACGGATGTTGAGATAGCATACCTTGCCACTAGCTGTCACACGGTCGCCATTATTTAACTTTATGTACTTTTTCCCCCTCTGCCAGCCATTAGTTTCATGAGATTAACAGAAAATAGTTAAAACAAAATGACAATGAAAAAATAATATTACTGTTCAAAGTACCTTATCCCAATGAAATACAGATTTCTGTTTCTTCATGCCCGCATTATCATCTGCAACTAGATCTAGAACAGCAGCTTCCAACCTATGAAGACAGATGGGGTCAACTGGTGCCCAGAGCACAAGAGATTGCATACATCTAATCTTCACAAAAATAATCAGATAATTTGAGCCGCACAAGTTAATGAAACTTGGGTTGAAAGTCAGGACTCATCCAACTTGGGGGAAGGAGGAAGGGGGAAGGGGGGAAGCTGAAAGATATTCCTGTTCTCCCCACTCCAATCCCATGTTAGCACACTCACTCAAGAGAGAGAGAGATGCATAGAGAGATTGGCTATTGCATACTGCCAGAAAAACTCGGTAACATGACATGGAATTGTCAACACACTTCCAGACAAATACACACCAAGAACTACCTATGCCCCACAATAAGATTTCATTTATTTACAGCAGCAATTAAAGGTCAATACCATAAACCAAGTTAAAAGTTAGTTAAATCAATTTCCATAGAGCTAAAGTAGAATCAAGTATTACCTATTTGAGTCAAAATCACCCTTTCCTCTTACTGAGAGTCCTGCTTCTGCATGCTGGACAACAATAGCAGGATAGTCCAATGGTCAGCCAGGTTCCAATTTTTGAGATCCAAATCCACAACACAACTTAAAACACGCAACTATTTGATGTAACAAATTATTGGCAATTCAAAATCAAGGTGATGAATTTTTGTTTTTATTTTTATTTTTATGGAGTTTTATCAAGATGTTGGCAGACCTGTCTTTGTACTGTGTTTCTGATTATTATCAATAAAATTTTGTTTCTCATAAGAATATATATGAAGGTGAGGATTTTTTTTATAAGAAACAAACTTTTATTAAAGCTTGAGAAAACAGAAGATGTAGTGGACAAAACATCCACTGTGTAACGGTACAAATACAAAATCTAACCATCATCAACAAAACCTCACAAGAAATATCAGAAAAAAACAAAAAACAAAACAAAACAAAACAAACGGGAAACAGATACCTAATCTGACCATATTCGAAAAAAGAGTATAATATTGCAATATAGCACCATAACTAACTTGAGAAATTATATAAGTAGTATGACCTACATGATTTGTTGGTACCGAACTTATAAAGTACTCCTCATCCTTAAAGCTCCTTGCCTTTCTTTTAGAGCCTGATACTAATATCCAAGAGAAAACAACAAAGTATTAATAAACCATTCCATAAACAAGCATATAATGTGTTATAGGGAGACAGAAAAGGAAAAGGAGCCAAACCACTCCCTAACATGTTTGAAAAATGAAGGTGAAATGACATTTCAATGAGTATGTGCCTCTAGATCCACTTCCCAAATACCAGGTTTCAGTACCATTGAGTACTACCACTTTAAACAACTTATAACCAAGGAGCACAATGGGGGCAAACCATACAACAACAAAATCTCCTGGCATTATTCTATTAGATTACTTTGCAAATTTACCAGTTAAAATGATTATAAACTAGTTCAGGAATCAGGATGAGAAATTTCTTGCTATTAGTTCAAGGATTAGAATAATTGCTCATGCAAGGCAAATACGTTCAGCACTATTGCTTAGTTCTAACACTAAAAGTTAGCATAAAATATGTGATATATAAGGCCACATCTTAAATGCATCTCTGCAATAGAACCCACGACTCTTTTCTGTTTGAACAGAAGCTTATTCATTTTTTTCAAAACGTGCCCGTCAGCTTACACAAGATTTATAACCTACCACAATCCGCATGCAGGCAGGCGGCTGCTCAAAGTTTCATTTCTAGAACTTCTTTTACCCATTCAAGAATTCCGTTTACAGCTTGGGGTCTAATAAACTGTCCTAACCAGGAAATAAAAATCTATATAAATAAAAAAAAATCAAAAGAGAAAAAAACCGTTTGAGCAGAGTGGCAATCTGCATGAGGACTGTCAGCTTTGGATGACACGTCTATATACCTTATTATCTATATATAACACCACACACACACACACACACACATATATATATATCAAACTCTGAACTAAGGAATACCTTTCTTCTCCTTTGCCTTTGAAGGAGTAATCTCATATTCAACTCCCTGAAAGTACCCAAAATTCAGTTTAGCACAATTTAAGATAAGGGAAGACATGATATGATTATTGATGCAAACCCATGTACATAACCTTTGCTTTAGAAATATACAGAAGTGGTCATTTTCAAATTGAACTCAGTATTAAAGACAATCGGTACTACTAAATATCCATCTTTATTTCATTTTCACCCTCATTTTGTAAGAAAACAGTAACCCAAGGCCAAATTTTGGTTTCCAAATTTATTTCCATAGAATAAGACACTTCTTGCAGCAGTCTCAGAAGTACTGCACATTATAGAACTTGTTCGGTGGTTATATAAAAAAATAAAAATAAAAAGTAGCATTTAAAAATCAGTAAAACCATATAATACCACACTAAAATATTTACCTTTTCCGCATGATTATCAGAACGTTGCTGATGAAATAAATTAATGACCCCTTCATGAATAGCTCTTTTTTCCCCTCATTACATCAACCCATTGACGAGAAGAACCCTGCGCATAAGCTATATACTTATTCTAACACCAAATAAAGCCACATCTGAACATCAAGAACAGAAGCCACGAAGAATAGCAATTATACAGGTAAGACATACACATTTAGGAAGGAACTAGTTGATGTCATCTTGCACATAACATAAGTTATTTCATCCAAACATATTCAAGGTGCCCAATTACGTACAATGGCATCACCTTCCAAATAATAATAAACTTCAAACTAAGCTCAGTGTTTGTTCTTCTTATCTTAAAAGCGTCCAATTACACACAATGGCATCGCCTTCCAAATTTTTTTTTAAAAAGGAATGTCTACAAAACAACCCCTCCAACTATAGAGCAGACCAGCATGTATAGGCATTGTATTAAACTTGGTTAAAAAGAAGATTAAGAAAATTGTCACTTAGATCAACACCATGAAGTTTCCAATTAAATGAAATCTACTACTAAGGCATAAAGTGGAGAGTTACCTTCAGATTCTTTGATTTAGCAGCTTCACCTTCAGTTTCTAGAATGGTCTGCTTGGGTCTAGCATAAATCAGACATTGAATGGTTAAAGTTAGCAGCTTCAAATCCTCAGAAGAAGAAACATAATAGAAGGGCATCTCGAAATATACAGTAAAAGACCAATGCTTGTAGTGTAAAACCTGAATGTCTTCAACCGCTCAGAAAATGCCAATGCCTTCAACTCTCCACCATCCAGTACATTTTTAAAAATTGGATGCAACCCTTCACGAGGTAAATCTTTTGCTCTTCTAACAGACTCCTTTGAAGGTGAGGGTTTTGTCTTTGAATACAAGCGGAATGCATTGGCACATGTTTTCAGCATTAAAGTGAGTTCTGAAGAAGAATCAATTATCTCTCTAACCCTATCCGAAACAAGATCAATAACTGTTTGGGGGAAACGCCCGTAAACAGTTTCTCCATTTGCAACTGCTTGATCAATCTTGGACATCATTCCATCCATATCCTGTAAAACCTCCTCTTCGGTAGGTGCAGCCCTAATTGGTTTTGAAAGAAACAGATGAAGATCTAAAAGGTTGGGCATATCTTCAGATGTCACAAGAGAGAATGCAGTACCAGTCCGACCAGCCCTTGCAGCTCGGCCTACTCGATGGACAAAAAGTTTAGGCTTTGGGGGGAAGTCCCAATTGATGACATTGTCAAGCAACGGAATGTCAATTCCCCTAGCTGCAACATCAGTGACAATTAACAGCATAGTCTTTCTCGCCCTAAACCTTGATACATGAATTTTGCGAGCATCGTGATCCATGTCACCATAACATACAGAAGGCTCGATGCCCTCTTCTCTAAACAAGATATTCAGGAACTCCACATGATGTTTTGTAGAAACAAAAATCAATGTCTGCTCACCAGATTTAATGTGCTCCCTTATCAAATAAAGTATTGCTGCATGCTTTTCTTCCTGTCGCACGGTGAAAAACATAAGCTTCAAGTCAGGGCTAATCTTAGTATCCAAATCAAGCCGCACAAGCCGAGGGTCTTGCAGACCAGCCTTGGCAAACTCTGCAAGAGCACTGGGTAATGTTGCACTAAAAAGCAGGGTCTGACGGTTCTCACTCAGCTGCCCAAGGATTTTATGCAGCTGCTCCGCAAAACCCATGCCAAAGAGGCAATCCGCTTCATCAAAAACAACAAACTCCACAGTCCTAAGTGACATGTCATCAACTTCAGCTAAGTGGTGCATCAGCCTACCGGGTGTTGCAATTATAATATCAGGGTTTTGGGCTAATTCTTCAAACTGAGTTTCCATGCTATCACCACCAACTAGTAAACTAATTCGAACATCTGCAACAAATACAGAAAATGATTTTGGTTTATGACCTTATGCAACCAACACTTTAAAAAATTGACTACATTTAAAAACCCAATAGTTTTCATCAACAGGGAACTTCAAATTCTTCCACTTTCTTCCAATTGCTTTCATCAAATGAAATGAACACAAAAATATCAAACTTTGAAACAAAATGGCACATACCCATGAAATGGCCAAGCTCTTTGGTAAACTTGTGAGTCTGTAAGGCCAAGTCTCTGGTGGGGGAGAGAATGAGCGCCCTAACACCACCCTGAGGCACGTGCTCCTTCAACCGCTCGAGCATTGGGATCAAAAACGCGGCCGTCTTGCCGGAACCAGTTCTGGCCATGGCAACGACGTCGTTTCCAGCAAGAATAAGGGGCATGGTCTTGCGCTGAATGGGAGTGGGGACTCTATAGCCCTTGCGCTTGACTCCTCTGAAGACATTGGGGCTTAGATTCAGAGACTCGAACCCTCCAGACTTGGCTTTTTTCTTCTGTATCTCCCTTCGCTTCAGGTCCGCTTTCGAGCTCACGTACACCATCGGGTTCGGATTTCTGCTCCTTTTTGGGGTTTTAGGGTTTCTGGGTTTCTTCTTTTCTGAATTGAAGAAAACAGTAGCACACAAACTGTTCAACTGAAGAACGGGCTGGAGGTTGGAGGCCGCGTCGATATGTGCTGTGCTGTGCTCTGCTCTGCTCTAGGTCGGCAGAGGCGGCGTCGTTTTGGGGAAGAGAGATGAAGAGGAAAAGGGGCGCGAAGTGGTAAAGGGTTTAGCGTTAAACCTGATGAAGAAATCAGCTGCGGCTAGGTCCATTCTATAATATCCTAACAGCCACTTGGAGCTCGCCATGTGTAAGAGATATTTTTTTATATTTTTTTCTTTTTCTGAAGTTTTTTTTTGTTGTCAAATTTCTTTTTCTGAAGTTAGGTTGCGTTGCATTGTCGAAGAACATATACAGAGAAAGGCAAAAGGCAGAAGCAGGAAAAAGAAAAACTTGAAATCTCGTAACGATGGCGAAGCCAGTGTCTGATTCACACAGCAACAGAGAAGCAGTTCAAGCAACAAACGACGACGCCTCGGCCAGCAAACTGTGCGCGCCCTTAACCTTTCCACTTTCAGCTTATTTTTAATTAAGGCTAATATATTTGTAGTTTTGCATAAATGCCTACAAATTTGCATTGTTTAACCGCAAATTACTATATTGTTCTGGTTGAATTGCATATGCGTCTTTTTTTTCCGTAGGTTCTGTTTGGTTGCCGAGAAAATGAAAGAAAGGAGAGAGGATATTTGAATTTTAGATGAAGTGTGTTGGTTGCTTAGTTTTAAATTTGATGCATATTGCTAACTTTGAACTGTATTGTTGAAAAGGTCCTGCGTGAAGAAAGGGTACATGAAAGACGATTATGTCCATTTGTTTGTAAGAAGACCTGTGAGAAGATCTCCGATTATTAACCGTGGTATGTTTTAGTTGCTCAATCAAGGATAAGAGTTGAAAGCTCATGATGTTGTTAACTTTTTTCACAAGTAATGAGTGTTAATCTCTTTGCTTGATTGTTTTTGCATAATCAAGGTTACTTTGCTCGTTGGGCTGCTCTTCGCAAGCTCCTGAATCAGTTTCTTGATACTGAAAAAAATGGGGGTGAAAAGGGTCATTTGAAGAAGCAGGTTTTATCACTTGGAGCTGGCTTTGATACAACATATTTTCAGCTGCAGGATGAGGGGAAAGCACCCCATTTATATGTGGAGCTGGATTTTAAGGAGGTACGAATTGTGTAACATTCATTACCATCTCATTGGTTCTGTTGCCAGCACACTGACTTTTGTATGTGGATTCTGACCAACTTTGGTTAGAAGTTAGAACTTTAAGGAGTGAATAGCGTGTTGATGAACTCATGCTAACCCACCCTGTCCTGTCAGACCAAGTGTTGATTTTCTGCTTTGAATTAATTAGAATTTTAAGTTATCTAATGTGGACAAATATTGTCTTCCATTCTTTTGCGTGTACTTGCATCTATATTGGACAAGAAAGTAAAGTTATATGGTCTTTGTTTGTCAGGTAACTAGTAAGAAGACCACACTTATTGAAACCTGCAGTCATTTGAGGGACAAAATTAGTGCAACAGCTTCAATCTCTCAAGGTACCTACTCTAGTGTTGCTGATGTTATAAATCTATGGTTGAATCCCTTCTATTGACTACATGTGTCTTTGGAGTGTCGTCTTTGATGTGTTATGTCACTATATGAATAGCACAGAGCTGTAATCTTCACTGATGTGCTTGTAAAAATTCCTTGGATGATTCCCCTTTGTCTTGTGGTTGAAAACTTTGATTCAGATCTTTAAGATTGTCAAGTTACTTATCTTATATACACAATTGAAATATACAAACTGTTCTTGGTACCCCATTATAGAATTTCTACTTTGCAGAGAAAGGAGAAGTGCTCAGTGACCACTATAAGCTACTCCCCATTGATTTGCGCAACATACAACAATTAGACGATGTTATAGCTTTGGCTGGTATGGATCGCAGGTATGTGCTTACAGTCAATTTCCTTCCTTTGTTGTTTATTTAGATCTCATTGCCGTACTTTGAACACTTAGTTTTGGGTCATTGGTGTCTTCTTTTATGGCTTTCCAGATACTTCCATTTTAAAGAATAGCTATGGACTATGGTAGCTTCCTTAAAAGATTGTGATGCTTTTATTATTAGTCATATTGTATTATCCATACTAGTTCAGTACCCATTTTGGTGTTCACGTGCCAAAAATACTTTACTACACTTTTAAGATAACTTAATTTTATCGACAACATTGTTAGTTGCTGCAGTTAAAATAAATAGAATACCAGTGGATTCTTATTAATAGATAATAAAAGACTGCCCTTATTGATGGAAATTTGTCATTGATATTTGTCTTGAGATAGTGATTAAATTGATTTATTCTAATATTGTTATCAGCCTTCCAACTTTTATAATTGCAGAATGCGTTTTGATATACTTGGATCCAGATTCAAGTCGTGCCATAGTTGGCTGGACATCAAAAGCATTTTCAACGGCAATATTTTTCTTATATGAGCAGGTTACAGGCCTCTTCAAACTTAAGAAGCCTTTTTGGTGTTTGTGTGTGACAATTTTCACTCTGATCTTCCTTTCTTCTTTGATTTGTGATACCGACAAGTACTTTAAAGTGGTGGTTTTATATGTGTTTCTTACATATATGGTTGGTGGTGGTTCAACAGATTCATCCAGATGATGCTTTTGGGCAGCAGATGATTAGAAACTTGGAGGTCTGCTTGCTTCTTTTTACTTTCTTCCGAACTCTTTTTTTTATTAAATAATTCCGTACTTACTTTTAAAAGGCAGCAGTCAATTCAATTGAGCCCTTACAGATCTTCCCCTTCTCATTATTTTCAGTTTTCAATTCATTAGTCATAGATAAAGATGTAATATATATAAAAATATTTAAAGGACCAGGCTTCGGAGATGCGAAGATCATCTTATTGAATTATTGTAAAATGTGCCTAAACCTATATTTTCAAAATTCAAGTTTTGTGATAATCATGAGAAAATTTTGTTCCATTTCTCAGCCTTTGCCTGAGAACAGTGAATTCACTTATTACATTGCTGCCTGTCCTAAAAAATCTGCACTCCTGTTTAGCTCTGAGTGGAGTGTTTTGGGTTATTTGCTTTTGAGTGGAGTGTTTGGGTTATTTTCTTTGACTGGAACTGGTTGGGTTATTCCTAAGATTGTTCGGGACATTTTATTGGGCACCAGAACCACAGTATTATTTAGAAGGCGATGTCGTTGTGTCTTATATGGGCACGAAAGGAATAATAGGACATTTGAGGACAGTTAAAAGTTGGTTTCCTATAACCAAAAAAGAAAAGATGGTTCCTCTCTTTTTCCAGCTGGTGGTGACTTTGTTTTTCTACTAGTTCCTTTAGAGGATTCTATGTTCCTCTAGATTATAGACACTAGTCTGTTTGTGGGGTGTACCTTTTGTGTACTGGATGTAAAGTGAGAGTGCATTCACTACAATATCTTGTTATAGAAAAATATAAATAGATAAATTAATTAAAGTACATACTTATTCTTTCAATAATGTAACACAAGCCTACCTTGTTGGTCAGGAATAATTGTCACTGCTTCTTATTCATGCTTTTATCCCTTTATTCCTTTAGGTGAAACTATGTTGCGCAACACCATCTCATGTTTTCTGGAATAAAGATTGATATGCATATGGTGTGGTTGATGTTTGTTTCAGAGTCGAGGCTGTGCACTCTTGGGCATACATGATACACCAACATTACAGGCAAAGGAAAATCTTTTTCTTGACCAAGGATGGCAGGTAGAAGTTATAAATTATAATTAGTATCTTTTAGCAATAAACTTTGTACTCTCTTGGGTATGGTTACATAACAGAATGTACAACAGCCAAATGATGATAAAGAAGTCATCTACCCCTAACTAAAGCCTAGAAGGCAGGACATAGATGCGTATGTACGCATAAAAAATGACAATTTTATAATGCTCTGGAAATTTTGTTGGCTGAAAACGTTCAAGTTGTAGGCCCTAGTATATTGAAACTTTTGTACCTTTCTAAATCAAGTTTTTTGTTTCATGTTTCGGGTTTCTTTTATTTGCGTCCTTTTGAATGCTGTTTATATTTCACTGAATTAATCTTCATCCTATATTAATTTTATTTTAATAATGTTGTGATTTTGAATGTGTGGGGTTTCAGAGGGCTGTTGCCTGGGACATGCTAAAAGTATATAGTAATTTTGTTGAAGCTCAAGAAAGACGCAGGTATTTCAAAATTATTAGTCGTTTAGTCATATTTTGCAATAACATGCTCACTTTTTCTTTTTTTTTCTTTTTTTGTTGGGGGGCTTTCGAAGTTAACCATGTAGTTTTAATACAATATGGCATACAGTAGATTGGACTCAAATTTCAACTGGATTAACTTAACTTGCCAATTTATCTTCTTAGACATGCCAGATCCTAGTGTATAGTATGTCATTAAATATCCTGTTCTATCCTTTTGGGAGGAGATAATAATTTTAACATATTGAGTGTATTCCTACGAACAAAAACTCATGTTTGGTTTCAGATAAAGGTTAGAAAAGGGGTGGATGGCTGCCTTTTTAGATTCTTACTTTACAGAACATGAAAACCCACTGGACTTTTCTCTGGAAGCCTTTTTCCCTGATTTTATTCTTTTTGTTGTTGTTTTAAAATTCCCTTGGGTTTGTATGGTTGTATTAAGATACTTTGGTTGTGATAATGTGGTACCACCTCTGCCCATGCTTTTGCTCCTTTTATCAACTTTTAATCAGCTAACTTGTAATTGATATTCTTGGGAAGATTCTCATATGTAATGTCTTCTTGTTTAGGATTGAACGATTGGAATTGTTTGATGAATTTGAAGAATGGTATATGATGCAGGCAAGTCAACTTCTCATTTCTGTTGTAAAAGAACACAGTATGCTAAATATTTTTGGTAAAAGTAATTTGACATGGGTTAGTTAAATTGGTCTCCTACCTGAGTGTGTTTGTGCCTTGTGTGCTTGCACATGTGAGCTTCCACATGCAGGCACATGAGTCATGGGACCGCAGTGAGTCCAGTGACCTAAGGTGTGTAGGGCCAGAAGCAACCATGGCTCCTGTTTCTGGGAGGCTGGATGATGTCACCCATACTACCGTACTGGAAAATGCTGATATATGCTTAGGAATCATCTCCATCTCTCTCCTTTATTTGGGAGGCGGTGAAGGATTTATTATCAAATGTTCATCAATATATTCATCAATTTTTCTCTAAACTTTTGTCCTGAACTGCTGATTTTCAGGAGCACTACTGTGTGGCTTATGCAATCAATGATGCCATGGTATGTCCACATATGACTGAAAGCCTGGAATACGCATCTGCAATTCATCACTTAAACGTTTTTTACAGTTTTCTTTTTTGTTTTTTCATAATTATACTGTCATGTGATAGGGAGCCAAATACTTGATAAATCTTTTTTGAATATGAACAAAACTTAGAACCCAAATTCACATATGACCTACTTGATGGCATACAAAAACTTTGCTTTTGGTAAACACTTTTGAGTTTTAACCTTCCACTTTTATTTCTTCTCATCATTCAGGGTCTGTTTGAGGATTTTGGTTTCCCTAACAACCAGCAGAAGCAGCAGCAGCACGTGCAGAATGTGCCCAACCCCTCATCCTCATCATCCTCATCATATTAGACCAATCCACTATGCTGTTGCCAAGTTTGGTTAAACAATGTATCAGATAAGCTCATCTGACTCTGCATGCCAACCCTACTGACGGGGGTGTTTTGTCAGGTAAACAAAGGGTCTCTCAACTACTGCTTACTCTTGGCCCTGGTTTCCAAAAAGATGATAATATCACCATCTATCTCTATCTGTGTATTGTTTTGACTCAAAGAAATGGATCTTTTATTTCTTTTGGGTCTGAAAAGAAAATTGGATCCTTGCTTCCTTTTCGTGCTAGCTGTTTGGCAAAGAAAAACTTGGTGGGTCCACCAAAGCACCAAAAGTATGTAATCTTATTGGCTTTGTGGGGCCAACGCCATGTGGTGAGCAAATATACGCATGCATGGTTTGGTTCTTTCCTATTCTTTTCGTTTATCTTCTTTTGCTCGCCCTTTTACCTATTGTTTTCTTCTTTCTTGGATGGCTATCATGCGTTTGATTTGGGTCACATTTTCCTGTGGAAGTTTCTGTACTTATTTTTTTAGAATCTGGTTGTGAAACTTTTACCCAAAAAAATTTCTGGTTTCGAAACGTGATGTTTGGGTCAGTATTGTAACAAGACTTGGTTGATTTGACCAGAAGTCCAGACTCAGAAAATTTACTGTTTCCGACTTCCAGTAGTAAAAGGAAAATTATTATATTTATTTATGTCCCAAAAGTTCTACATAAAGGGGAAAAAGGACAGAATATAGCCCCCAATACATGATTTTCGAAACAAAGTTGAATAATAGTCGACCATTTCCTTATCTGTGCGTGTTGTCCTTGCACATAAGTTATGCTAATTTGCTTGGGTTAGCTAAACCCTAATTTGCTCTGGAGTGATGTTCCTCTTACTCTGTTTTTATACAAGTGGTATCGTAAAGAGTAGAAAATCGAACTAACGCCTTCGATTTCAGGTTAACTACTTAAGCTATAAACCCTTCTACTTAAGCTATAAACCCTTCGTGCAGATTTTCCTAATACCAATTTTAGCTTTGTGCACTTGATGTCATATTATTTTTTTTGAAGTGCAAGTGCCATATACACCTTCCTACTCCCCAATATTGGTAAATGTACCCTATAATGTAACCTATAAATTGGAAATGTACCCGAACGAAGCCAATTGTTTACAGTATCTTGGCATTTCAATTTAAACCCTCTCACATTTATTTTGTTCTTTATTAAAAGAGTATATATATGTATAGTCCTTTTCTATTGAGAGATCTCTCAAATAAATTATTTGAGGGACACATTTTAGGGTCTCCTACAAAAAAAAAATTCAACGATCCAAACCATCAATTTTTTAAGTTTACATTCATAGATCATCCTTACAAAAAAATTAGAGAAATTGAAAACCGTTTTGACATCCAATTGTGTCTTACAAAAGCAATGAACACGGTACTTCAAGAAAGTACTAAAATGTCAATAATTCAATTGAGTAGTCAAATGATATCGGATTCAAGTGATTTTTTGTAAAGGTGATTTTTGAATTAATATTTACAAAATAAACAGTTTGGATTAGTAAAATACAATACGGAGTGGGCTCTACAAGGGTGTTCCTAGACCTAGCAAACAGGTCGTGTTCGTGTTAACCTGTTAACTTAACATGTTGACAAGACACAACCCATTAACTCAACGGGTGAAATATGTCAGACCCAAACATGACCTGTTACAATTCGCAAATGACCCAACATGACCAGTTAAGAATAAACTAGAAAGAAAAAAAAATATATATATGGAAAAAAACACACAGCCATCTTTGACTAGAAACCTATGCTCCATCATTAGGCCGATGCTGAAATATGATGACTTTCAGTAATTAGGACCAAGAAAACAAAAGCCTCGTAAAACGATTTGGATCAAGGAAGGTGAATTCCCAGTTTTTTTTTTATTTCTCTAAACTACCCAGGAAACAATACATCCTAAAGCTTTAAGCTTTAATTTCAGCTCAAGAAACTTAAAAGAAAAGGTTTTAAGCTTTAATTCCTCAACGACCAAAGAAAAGACAAGAAGAGAAAAAAAAATCGTTGATTAGATTAGATTAGATGACAGAGAAAGAAAGAAGAAAGGAAGAAAAAAAAAAAAAAAAAAAAAAAAAAAAGAGAGAAGAAGAAGAAGAAAAAAAGAGAGAGTGGGAGGTAAGACAGTAGACAGAAAGAGAAAGATAAGAACAAATAAATAAATAAAAAAGAGGCATGGTGTTGGTGACTTAGGATATTTTTAAAAAAACATATTTAGCAAAATTACCAAATTACCCTCCTTAACGGGTGGATCGAATATTCGCGAATTGACCCAACACAACCCATTAGCTTAATGGGTGACTAACGGGTTCACTCGTTTTCAACCCGACCCATTAAGTTCAACCCAAATATTGATAATTTCGTGCTAATTCGTGTCATGTTAATAGGTCGTGTGTAATATTGTCAGGTCTAGGTGTCCCTCAAATAAACTTATTTGAAAGATCTCTCAATAGAAGCTATATATATATATATAATTTTATTTTAGGGACACCCTTTAGGGTCCCCTACGAAATTTTCTTCAACGATCCAAAATATCTATTTTTCACATCTTCATTCATAGATCATCCTTGCAAAAATTCATGCAAATTTAAAATATTTAAGGCATCTAATTGAGACCAACAAAATCAATAAACACGATACTCTAAGAAAGTACCTAAATTTCGATAATTTAATTGAGTAGTCAAATGATATCAGATTCAAGTGATTTGTTGTAGAGATGATCTTTGAATGAATATCTATAAAATAGACAATTTGATTAGTGAAATACAAAGCGGAGTGGGCCCTACTAGAGTGTCTTTCAAACAAATTTATTTGATAAATCCCTCAACAGAAACTCTCTGAATATATATATATATATTCATAAATTTTTCTTTCTATGCTACAGGAGTAAGTAAGAGGAGTAATCCCATTTTTCTTGGTTCATTTTCATTTTGGCCCCACTGCCTTAAAAAGTTGGGAAAAAATAAAAGCGGGGTGAATTTGAATTTGATAATCTAGTGTGGTGGAAAAGTACTAAATAGATGGTCAAATGATATCGAATTCAAGTGATTTTTCGTAGAGATGATCTTTGAATGTGTACCTACAAAATAGATGGTTTGGATTAGTGAAATACGATCCAGAGTGGGCCCTACAAGGGGTGTCCCTCAAATAAGCTTATTTGAGAGATCCCTCAATGGAAGCTCTCTGTATATATATATATATATATATATATATATAATTTTATTTGAGGGACACCCTTTAGGGTCCCCTATGAAATTTTTTTCAACAATCCAAAACATCTATTTTTCACATCTTCATTCATAGATCATCCTTGCAAAAATTCATGCAAATTTAAAATCTTTAAGGCATCTGATTGAGATCAACAAAATCAATTAACACGATGCTTTAAGAAAATACCTAAATTTCGATAATTTAATTGAGTAGTCAAATAATATCGGATTCAAGTGATTTTTTGTAGAAATGATCTTTGAATGTATATTTACAAAATATACAATTTGATTAGTAAAATACAATGCGAAGTGGGCCCTACAAGAGTGTCCCTCAAATATATTTATTTGATAATCTCTCAACAGAAATCTCTATATATATTTTCATAAATTATGCTTTCTATCCTACAGGAGTAAGTAAGAGGAGTAATCCCATTTTCTTGGTTCATTTTCGTTTTGGCCCTACTGCCCTAAAAAGTTAGGAAAAAATAAAAGCGGTGATGATTTTGAATTTGATAATCTAGTGTGATGTGGAAAAGTAGAGTTACATAGGAATACAGAAAGATCCCACTTTCTTTATCAAATTGCATCATTTATTTGGATTGGTGTCCCTTGCATCACTCCTTTCCATTCTACTTTTCTGCCTCAACCTTAGGGGATATTTATAAATTGTCACACCAAAATTTAGGGCAAAGTCTTTTTATGTCGTTTTTTTTATTTTTTGCCTTTTATTTTTTCTTTTTTCCAATAAAGGGTCAATTATTTATTGCAGCTTGCAATCTTTGAAGTCATGGTTTTGGCCTTTGTTTATAGTTTGGGGTTCTGTCTGTCACCAACTGTTATAAAAAAGTCTGAGAAGATCTGTTAGAATTTCGTACTTGGTTTCTATTTATAACTTATAAAAGCATGCAGCTGGACTGCTTGGCGTGTGGATCAAATGTTGAAACCTTGAAGCTAAGGGGCTTGGAGTGTTCACAGGTTTTAGTTTTTAGTCATAAGAATAGTTTCAGCACAAGAGGTTCAACTTTTCTTTATTCTCATCTCATGTGATGTCATGTCATGTCTTCTTTTGTTCATATACAAATGAAATTTCATTAATTTAAACCGAGACGCAGCGGAGAAGGTGAATAAACAAACATCCATGGAAAGCTAACATGATCATAAACAAACAAAAATACAAGAGAAATACGTAAGTCAGATAAATCCGAATGTCTATCGCTCTTAATAATGATCTTGATTCGCAAGGAGCTTATAACTCAAGCAGATAAGAGCATTCACAGTCTGACACAATTTCGCAAGAGGCGCTGTAAATTTCGTGGTAGATCCTTAACATTTCAGATTAGAATAAACTTTTCAGATTTTCAACAAAGAAATTTTAAAAAATAAAGATGAAGAATATCTTGAAAGGAACATCCCTGCAATGTTAAGAAGAATCAGATACTCACTCACCTCAAAACCCAGAATAGGAGTATTCCAGTGACTGGTTTCAAGCTTTCAACATGGCCTTACCCTACCTTTTCCTCTTTCTTTCTTTTTTTTTCTCTTTGAATTTATAATAATAATAATTTTTCTGATAAAATGTGGGGCAGAAAAACCAAAAGAAAACCTTTCACACCGTTAAGTTTCAAATTTAACAGCAAAGGGTCTAGATCCAAACACACTTTTCTCATCAAAAATTGTTCTCGAAGAAAAAAAAAGGTGATGGTTGGGTCCAGTGAGGCCATGGGAATACAAAGTTAGGAGAAAAAACGGTCACTTTAACCAT